ACGCAGAATTGAATTCGCTACAAGATAATATAATATTGTCCTCATACACTTGCTCTACTAGAAAGATTTGCCAAAAAATTTCATTCATAATCGGCTACGACATATACAGATTGGCTGAAAATTACGTGCGCCAAAGAAAACGCCATAATTTAATTTTCTTTCAAAGAAAATGTAAAAATATTTATTTATATAATAGTTGTAACAAAAGCATTTAATAATCACAAGAAATTTTCGAAGTGGCCTCCATCCGCTTTGATACAGGCTTCAATTCGCTTCTTTACAGAATCGACGGTGCGGCGGAGATAATTTGCATCTAAGTCGTTCCAGATTTTGATCAATTCTCGACGTAAATCATTCAAATTGGTGATTTTTCTATTTCTCAATTGTGCTTCCATAAAACCCCAAACCGAAAAGTCCAACGCATTGAGATCCGGGCTGTTTGCAGGCCATTGACCCTTCGTCAAAAAAGAGCCAAATTTTGGTTTCGAGAAAGCGAATTATTGTTTTGGCTCCGTGGGCCGGCGCCCAATCTTGTAGTAATGCTTTGGATCTGAGCCTTTGGATACGGTTCACCTCTGTGTGATACTGGATCCGGGGTTAAATTCGTCGGTTCTCCGGCGAGAGTTACTCTGAATAAATCAGAGTGCTCAAAACAAGCGTTTCGCTTGAATGTTTTTGCATGGAATAATGGAAAAGGACTTCGGTTCCTTACTGTTGGTTTCGGAATTGGATTAATGATTAAGAGGGACCAACGGGGGCATGCGTACCGCTACGCGAGAGGTGAAATTGTTGTTGAAATACATTGTTTAAAACTATGATGCTGATGCTGCGCGCACGTAATTTTCAGCCACCCTGTATATAATAAATATTTCTTTCTTTTCATCATTTTAAGCTATCTATATTTTTCGTTTTTTAGTTTTTAGAATAAAAATTTAGCTTAAACCAAATCCCTTTTGTCTCAAAGTCTCAACTAATCCGCCTTTTATGGGATTTAAATGGTAGAAATCTTTCGTATTTCTAATCTCACAAATCACCATTCTTCTAACATTCAACTAAACTTTTTAAATAAAAAATTTTTATTATAAAATTTTATTATAAAATTTCCAATTGTTTCTAATAAAATAAAAGTAACTAAATAAAGAGTTTTCTTCAACTTTTTAACTTACCGTAAATACTTTAATAGTACCCCACCCCGATAATGACGGTGCGGAGTGCTGCGTAGTCTAGCTTTGAACGAGTTTTTCTCGACACTGGTTTATGCTACAATGCGCGCTTAGGTATCAAAAGAGTTGTCTTCAACTTTTCAACACTTCAACTCCAACTTAAACTAAAGTAAAGTTCTAAAAGAAGTTCTAAAAACTAAAGTAAAGTTCTAAACATTTCAACTTTCTCAACTATCATAAAATATGAACTTTTAACGAAGCTCTCAACTTTTAAATCTTATTCTATGAGGATTCAAAGTTGAATAGATTGAAAAATCGATTATTAAAGAAAAAAAAAACTGAAGGTAATATTGCGGTAAACGAAAAGTGAACGTGTTTTAGAAAATGCATAATCTTTTTTTCATTTTTAACTTCACTCAATTAATGTTCTTTCCCTAATCTTTAAATCTTTTTTTAATAACTTTTGTTTTCGATTACAAAAGTGAAATCATAAATTGAGCTTTTTGAAAAACGCCCGTCTTCCTGGGCATTATCTCTTTTCTTTTAAAAATCGAATATTATTTTAAAGTTTTAAAAACAAGGTTTTATCATTGTTTTCAGTTTTTAACTACCGTCTTTTCTCTAAGCGTAGTGCACCCTGAACGTTGCCTAAACTGCTCGAAATCTCGAGAACCGCTTATCAGAACCTATTGATGTGGGGTCGGAAAATGTAGCTGATGATAAGATCTAATGGGGGATTTGAGTGATGAGCTTCTGGGAAAGATTGGAGACTGTAAAATAGTCACCAACTCGGCTCACCGGGAAATATTAGGGAAATAGATCAGTCTGATCTACTAGCCTAATCTGGAATAATATACCGTCTTTTCTTTAATAGTAGTGCACCCTGAGCGTCGCCTAAATTCCTCAAAATCTCGAGAACCGCTTATCAGAACCTATCGATGTGGGGTCGGAAAATGTAGCTGACGATGAGATCTAATGGGGGATTTGAGTGATGAGCTTCTGTGAAAACTTTGAAAGCCCTAAATCGTCATCAACTCGGTGCACTACTATTAGAGAAAATACAGAATACCGTATTCTCTCTAATAGTAGTGCACCCAGAGCGTCGCCTAAATTGCTCGAAATCTCGAGAACCTCTTATGAGGACCTATCGATGTGAGATCAGAAAATGTAGCTGACGATGAGATCTAGTGGAGGATTAGAGTGTTGAGCTTCTGCAAAAAACTTGGAAACCGTAAAATAGTGATCAACTCAGCTCGGCCGGGTGCACTAGAGAAAATACGGTAACTATTTTGTTTCAATAAAACTTTGAAAACTTTAATCAGGATTTCCATAAACTATTGAATGAATGGGATTTTTCACTTCAATAAACTTGAGCGGATTTCATTCAAAATCTTCACTTTACTTTACTTTATCAATTACTTTTTTTGAAATGAATCAGAGAAATGAGTAAAGTGATGACAATTTGATTGAGAAAAAGATATTCAGCTCGAGGGTTATCTCTTCTGACCCATTCAATAATCTCTTTACACTTCAACGCCTAAGCTCTGCCCTATATAAACAAAACTTATTATTAAAAGAATCAGAATCAAAGATTTATTTGGCTTATTCACTAGGCTTGTGCTACTGTAGTTCTACTACTTGTTCTACTTGTTCTACTGTTCTAGCTTACCCAAGTACAACTAATAAATCAATTGTAACAATTTTATAGTAAATTCCTTTGAAAAACTAATTTCTAAGTACCAGATTCATTCCAAAAATCAAGAAATCTAACAATTATATATTGTAACAATACTTTTCTTTCTTCTTCCACCTTGTCTTTCCCTTTTTCTCCTAGCTAAGGTGTCGGTTAGCTCAATGGTTACAGCTCAGTACCCGAAAGGTCAAGAGTTCAATCTCCTCCCCGGCTGTCTACTTTTTCTTCCCAATTCCTTCACTTCTTTATTATTGTAGTCTACTTTTGCTGACTTTTCTATCGTAATTTGACTTTAAACTATTCCCATTCTCGAGTTTTAAAGGCTCAAACCTCGAGAATTTGAAAGAATCTTGTTTTTTTGTGAAAATGTGATCTCTTTGGATCTCATTCATCAGAAATCACCGCTTCTCAGGACTTTAAAATTCAGCACATTCAAGAATTCCCGCTCTCCGAAACAATGCCTCATTTTCTTTGTCTAATTTCTTTGGTGAGCAAAACACCTGAAATTTTGTCTGAATAGGCTTATTTGGCAAAAAAGAAAAAGTTGTCCCAATTACCGGTGTAATTTCTGGTGTTTTTGCTGAAGAGAGAGAAAAAAAAAGTCTCATGAGAATTTGTCATGTTTTCTCATCTTATATAAAGCTTTGTGGTTTTGCGTTTTTTTTGTGAAATGTTTCAGTTTTAATGAATGAATTTTTCTGTTGTATGTTAGGATTTGAATCTTTCCAATGATTACGTTAGTTTTGTCGAAAGAGGAAACGTATCAAGCTTTGTTCTGGATTTCAATTTGCTTTACTGAGCCAAACGGAATTGTATTTTCAAAATCCACAGCGTTTGGCAATAACCGTAAACTAGCTATACGATTATTACCGTATTCTCTCTAATAGTAGTGCACCGCGGCAGAGCCGAGTTGGTGACTATTTTACGGCTTTCAATGTTTTTGCAGAAGCTCAAAACTCAAATCCTCCACAAGATGTCGTTTTCAGCTTCCAATTAGCAAAAGTACTGTTAAATAGGCTGGCTTAGAGTTGTTTATTACCAAATGATTATAACTCACAATGTAAGAATTTTGAGATAACAATTTTGAGATAATCTACTGTTACAATATTACAACCAAGTTACAATATAGCATATTTTCTCTAATAGTAGTGCACCCGGCAGAGCCGAGTTGATCACTATTTTACGGTTTCTAAGCTTTTGCAGAAGCTCAACACTCAAATCCCCCACAAGATCTCATTGTCAGCTACATTTTCATACCCACATCGATTAGTTCTGCTAAGCGGTTCTCGAGATTTCGAGTAATTTAGGCGACGCTCAGGGTGCACTACTATTAGAACCTTTAACCCTAAACCTTAACCCTAAACCTTACCTTAACCCTAAACCTTAACCCTAAACCTTAACCCTTAACCTTAACCCTTAACCTTAACCCTAAACCTTAACCCTAAACCTTAACCCTAAACCTTAACCCTAAACCTTAACCCTAAACAATTCATTTTGTCAAATAGACGTGTCAAATTCATTTTGAACATATATATATGATTTAAAAAATAAATCTCTCCAATAGCTATTGAAATGTCGAATTGCTTTCTCCGCATGACATCATTTCAGTAATTTGTTTACCCATTTTCATCCCTTTTTTCGGCTTTTCTCTAAAAAAATCCCAAAAGCAAAATTTGCTATATTCTTTTGCTATAAAATTTTCAAAAAAATCTCATTTTCATTCTAAACATGTGTTTTTTTATAAAAAAAAAATTTGTATTCAAAGTTTTTGCCAAAAAAAAAATTCCCATTTTCCCACCACGACATCACGTTGTTTTTTGGGAGAAAAAGCTTCCCAGCTTTTGAAAAGGATTTCAAAATTTCCCAAATAACATTTGAATTACTTTATGATTACTTTATGATTGTTGAAAAAAAACCAAAAATGTGATACAAACAAAGGAAACATGATAAGACAAAAGGTCTAAACAAACAATTTTTTTATGGCACTGCTGTTGAATACTGCGGCCATCGTTGCCCCTATTACCCCTATTACTATTACTATAATTTTTTTTTTCATGCTTTCAAATAGCTTTCTAGCTTTCTAGCTTTATAGCTTTATAACCTTCATTTTCAGAAAACAGCTGAATATCGATTACCTCGTAAAAATGACGTCAATTGGAATGCGTCGTCCCCGTCTTGAGAGACAAATGGCTGTCGATACGATGGAGGTACAATAGTAGAATGATAGAATGGTAGAATTGAATACAATGGTAGAATGGTAGAAATGAATACAACAGTAGAATGGTAGAATGGTAGAAATGAATACAACAGTAGAATGGTAGAATGGTAGAAATGAATACAATGGTAGAATGGTAGTGTTCGGAACTTCTTCCGATAAAGTTTATTTCTCTTTGAAATCAATGTTCAATGTTCCCTCTGAATCATCCTTTTCCTCCAAAATCTTTCCACGATTTCCCCAGCCATAAGCTAGCTAAAACATAGACATTTCTAAACATTTCCCCCTCAACTTTTCTGTATGTAAACCCTTCTGTGCTTTAATAAATATTCTGCCTGAACCAAGGGATAGAGACACATCTTATCCCGAACAGGTAGAATGATAGAATTGAATACAATAGTAGAATGATAGAATTGAATACAATGGTAGAATTGAATGAAAAGTAAAATTTCTTGTATTCAAATACTAAATGCTAGATAAAATATTATTTAAAATATTTAAAATTAGCGGAATTTCCAGAAATTCCTATAAAAACAACTTGTGCAAATGGGTTTTCGATTTGGATTTCTATTTCGATTCTATTTCTATTCTATTTCTATTCTATTTCTATTTCTATTAAGTTATATTATATATGTATAAAATTAGAATAAGAAGTAGACTGACTATTTTTCAAAGCCTTCATTTCCAGGACCCGACCTTGAAATGCTTGCCGAGTCAACGCCAAGCGAATCAATCGACGAATGGTGCCACTTTTCAACAACCACAACATCATCGTCAGTTTTTTTTTACATTCAACAATTTAGATAAACAGAAATCTGTTAAACTATGGCTTTGTTAAAGCATGTTTTTATTGAAAACCAATAATTTGATACAAAAAAAGGATACAAAATAAGACTTAAAGGTCTAAACACAAAATTTTATGGTTCAATTTTATCGCACAATTTTATCGCACAATTTTATCGCCTACATTTTTCCCAATGACACTTTTAAAACCAAAAAATAGGAAAGACTACTAGATTTCAAGGACTATCATTTGACATTCAAGCGCACACTCTAGCATAAAGCAGCACGGAGAATGGGACGTTCAAAGTTGGATTGTACATCCATCATTACCCTTGTTTGGGGAAAGTTTGATAAATTGTGCGCTTTCAAGACAACCACTATTGAACCACACCGAGACACGGTCTCACAAGAAATTATATAGGTCAAAGCATAAACATATATTTCTTACATTACCCTTCTTACCAAGCGTTATGAAAGAAAAAACCCACTTGGTGGGAAAAAGAAACATTTATATCTTGCCAGCGTGATTGAACCCTTGACTTTCCGCTTAAAAGACAAGACTCCAAACCAGTCGGCCATCTGGCCCTCTGGCTTAGATAAAAACAAATCTTTGAACTATAAAAGAAGAGCTGGCTAGTCCCCTAGTCCCCAACCCCAAGTCCAGGAACTTTCCAAGTGTTCTAATAGTTTTGTTTAGTTATAAGAATCCAGTAAACCCTTTAGATCTATCTATATCAAGAAAATTGAAATAATGGTGAACTTACAAAAACTTACAACTTACACTTACAACTTACAAATTTACGAAAAGAATTCCAGACGCTCCACAGCGACAAGACACCGTCATCTGTCTTGACTCGATTGTTCTCCAACCAAAATAACAAAATCCACAAAATCCATGAATTAACAACCATTCAAAACTCTACTCATTAAATTCGCCAAATTTGATGTACATATTCCTTTATTTCTTCAGAATTTCATTGTGATTTTCTTGCTGTGAGCTCTTTTCTATTAAGATATTCACGGGTACTCACATTTATATCCAAAAAAAACAAACTTTTCCGTGAAAAACTTGGTTACTTTTATTACTTTTTGGTTACTTTTATTACCTTTTGGTTACTTTTATTACTTTTTTGGTTACTTTTATTGTTGTTTGCACAACATTTCTGTACAAAGATGTCTTTTTGCAATAAAATTCTTTTTTTTCTTCTTCTCTTGGTTTAAATTGATGAAATGATGCAAGATTTTGATGGAAATTGTCTTTCGTTAAAAAGTGACGATGGAATTTTGTCAAGGATTTTTGAATGCTTCATAATTTTGTCAAGAGATAATATTAATGCTTTTGATTTGAATTTTGATGCCATTGGCTTTGATAAAAATAAAAAAAATATCGACTTTATCAAAAACCGGATGTTTCAAAAGTTTAGGCGGATTTATTGTAACAGAAAAAAACAGAAGAAAAACTTAACAAAAGTGCTTTAGCGTGTTTTAAAAATAAATAACGTGGCCTCCGCGGCAAATTAACTGAAAGATTCTTTTCGGCATACTTTGGAAAAGCGAATTGAAACAGCGTGGAAGGAATTTCACTCCATTCTCTAATAATTGCCGCTTTCAAAGAACCGATCGTTGTGTATTGTTGTCCATTTTTGTAAATCTGTTGACCATTTTCGCGCAAGATATCCCCAAATGTTCTCGTTGGGGTTACATTCAGGAGAACATGCGATCCACGTTAACACGGGGACATTTTGTTGTTGAAGGTAGCTGGTGGTCGAAACACTTCGGTGAATGGAAGCCCCATCATGCATAAAAACATAAGAAGTTCCTTGATTTTGTGTCAGAAATGGAAGCAGAGATTTGGATAAAACTTGTTGATACTCGGTACCATCCATTCTCATTGAGGTGAAGCAAATCTCAAGCATACTTTGGAAAAGCGAATTGAAACAGCGTGGAAGGAATTTCACTCCATTCTCTAATAATTGCCGCTTTCAAAGAACCGATCGTTGTGTATTGTTGTCCATTTTTGTAAATCTGTTGACCATTTTCGCGCAAGATATCCCCAAATGTTCTCGTTGGGGTTACAGTCAGGAGAACATGCGATCCACGGTAACACGGGGACATTTTGTTGTTGAAGGTAGCTGGTGGTCGAAACACTTCGATGAATGGAAGCCCCATCATGCATAAAAACATAAGAAGTTCCTTGATTTTGTGTCAGAAATGGAATCAGAGATTTGGATAAAACTTGTTGATACTCGGTAGTATCCATTCTCATTGAGGTGAAGCAAATCTCAAGGGTCCCATCTGCACAAAAAGCTCCCCAGCACATCAATGATCCTCTGCCAAAATTGCGCTTTGAAAAATACTTTGGTCCTTTTCGTAAAACTCCCCAGTAATGCAGATAACCGTCTGGTCTGGCAAGGCACCACTTCTTTTCATCGCTGAAGATGATTTAAAGTTTTATTTTGTTTAGACCTCACTTATAAATCTCACTTTTGTCCAATCTCGATTCATTTCACGTTAAGCGAAGTCTAAATGTGCCTTTTTGTGAATGTCCTTTAATTTTGGAGCTGGTATCATCTTCACTCTTTGCAGATTAGGATTTCCTTTCAAACCGCAGAATCGTTTGTTTTGAAACTTTGAGCCCACATTCAGCGGCTAACTTCTTAGCTGTCTTTAGCGAATTCGAAGCAGCATTTGACAAGCGTCGTCGATCTCTTTCAGATAACTTGCTGGGTCTTACCCATTTTCTTTTTGGGATACTTTGGATAAGCGAATTGAAACAGCGTGGAAGGAATTTCACTCCATTCTCTAATAATTGCCGCTTTCAAAGAACCGATCGTTATGTATTGTGGTCCATTTTTGTAAACCGGTTGCCCATTTCCGTTTATTGTTCATCCTTCCAAACGCTTTTCGAACTTCTGGCTCAGAACGATTAAGTTTCTCCGCAATTTTATTGAAGGTCCAGCCGGCGTTACGTTAAGCCTCAATCTGTGAAATTTCGAGAGCGGAAATCTTTCCCTTTTTTGACCATTTCCTGTAAAATAAATCATTACGCAAAAGTTCAGTATAAAAAAAGAATAAAAAATATTGGAAAAAATTTTTAAAGATAAAATTCCAAACGGTCTAAACTTTGAAAAACCCAGTTTTTGATAAAGCCGATATTTTTTTGATTTTCACCAAAGTCATTGAGCCAAAAGTTTTTTCTTTAAAATTTCTTTAATTTCCAGTTTTTTACATTAATATAGATCAAAATAACAAAAAAAATTAGTTGCCTTTTTTTAGGGAAAAGCCCATTTTGCGCTACCGTCTAAACTTTTGGAATGCATTGTAGTGGCGCTCAAGAAAGAGGATCGCGTCTCAGTCGCTGACCAGCTCCTTCTCCCGTTGAACATTCCCGTTCAACGAAAGGGAAAGCACCTTATGCCAAATGGGTATGTCAGATGGCGAGCGATTGCGCGCAAAGAACATCTCCTTTAACCAAGAACGCTTCCTTCCATTTTGCGCTACAGTCTAAACTTTTGGAATGCATTGTAGTCGCGCTCAAGAAAGCGGATGGCGTCCCAGTCGCTGACCAGTTCCTTCTCCCGTTGAACATTTCGAAAGGGAAAGCACCTTATGCCAAATGGGTATGTCAGATGGCGAGCGATTGCGCGCACGCACAAAGAACATCTCCTTTAACAAAAAACGCTTCCTTTCTTTTGCTTTGTAGATAGTCCAAAAAAAATATTTTCAGCTGTAAATTTTTGCCCAGGAGTTTTCGGGGTCGGGGAATCGATTGGAACTTTTCATTTCATTTATTTCATCAATTAGAACTCGGATTTAGTTCGTCTAAACTTTTAGATGAATTTTCCAAAAATTCAACAATGGAAATGATTTCATTTTTGTAAATCTCTTTAAGATTTCGAATCACGCCAGAAGAACTCGTAGTCACAACTTTCAGATTACCCCCTTTCAAAGCTTTCATAACCGCCAACTGTATCATTCTTTTGCTTGTCGTGTTCCTCGTATTTGGAATAAGTTACCTTGTGATATTTTTTCGTCTCTGAGCTATTTGAAATCCTCAATATATAAGCTCGATCTTGTAGCTCTGTCAATTTTAAATTAGTTTTTAATGTCATATATACACGTGTCTAATTGTAGTCGTGTTTGTATATCAATTATCTTTCTTCGTCTACGCTGTTCAATCTGTTTGCATTGTCACTTTTCCTTGTCGGATAAAGTATATATATATAAATCTTTCTTTTCTCCTTTCATTTTATTTTCAATCTCTCCATTAAACCATATAATTACAATTATCCTTTTAACCTCTAAATGAGAACTTTCAAGAAAAAGAAATGAAAACTTTACTTTTCCTCCATTTCATTCAGCAAAATATTTTTTATGACTTCTTTTTTACGCCATTAACGAACATTTGGAACACCTTTTGCTGCACATTTTCTTTTTCAAAGATTTTTGATTATTTTACGCCGAAATTCGATGATTTTTTTGCACAAACTTCCGTAAAATCAGTGATCATAAATGGAAAATTAGCAACATAATGAATTTTTATTTTTTGCATTTTTCAATTCACACCTTTTTTTTTTATTTAATCTCAACTTCACTTCAGACTTCAGATATCAGAAGGGTATGCCAGATGGAGAGAGATTACACTACAAAGAAAATCTCCCTTAACAAAGAACGCTTCTTTTCCTTTTGCTTTGTAGATGGTTTCGAAAGAAGTAGTAGAACTATCTACCAAGTAGAACTATTGGGTTGGTGAATTGAAAACTGCGGGCTATTGTCATATGTGACAGTTTGAGCACTTTCTTCAAAAGAAACCCATTTTGGTGTCAATGGGAAAGTTGTAGAGAATCAAAAATTAGGTTATAGCCAAATTTCCATAAAGATACACTTAGTAGTTCCGCTTAAAATGCAAGTTTTGTGAAAATCCGCTTAAAATTTGGGTGTTCTGTGTGTTCTTTGTGCGGCCGCGTAATCGCTCGTCGTCTGGCGCAGGGTCTTTACATAACCCTCTTTCCTCTGTGCCCTCCTATTTATTCCGGCCGGTTCCGAATCCCCAAATCAAGGCTAATCTCAATCTATTGGGTTGGTGAATTGAAAGCTGCCGGCTATTGTCATGTGTGACAGTTTGAGCACTTTCTTCAAAAGAAACCCGTTCTGGTGTCAATGGAAAAGTTGTAGAGAATCAAAAATCAAGCTTATATCCAAATTTTCAGAACGATTCAAAAACTGGTTTTCAAGAAATTGCCAAATTTACGAATTTTCACAAAACTTGCATTTTAAGCGAAACTACTAAGTGTACCTTTTTGGAAATTTGGCTATAAACCTAATTTTTGATTCTCTACAACTTTTCTATTGACACTAAAATGGGTTTCTTTTGAAGAAAGTGCTGAAATTGGTTCTCCATTTTTGTCTCCAGTCTCCAGCCTCGATTTTTGAGTCTCACACTTGTCTCACACACAAACCAAAATCCTACTACGAAAGAGGAATCCGCAAATTGCCTGTAAAATGGGCAGAAGTCGTCAATAATAATGGAAATTATTTGGAATGAATTTATGGTTTTATGTTGAATAAATTTTAGTTCAAAGTCCCGCAGTTTTCAATTGACTAACCGAATAGGATTAGAGATGTGTAAGAAGATGTAACTGTGCCTAGCTGACAATTAGATGGCTTGGCACTGGATTGGATTTGGAAAACTGTCGTTGTTCGTTTTTAACTTATCGTTTTTCTTCTTGCGAATAATTCTGATTAAACTTCTCTTTTGTCGTTTTAATTTTCACCACCTTTCTCTCAATTTTTTTCAAGTTAAAGGTGATTTGAAGAATGTCAGCAAAATTCTTAAAAAGCCTGAATTCCAACTTGAGCTTCAAAGATCACCAAT